CCCTCCCCCATGCTCCTGAGGATTGAACTCAGGGGCACTCTACCATTGAGCTGTATCCCCAACCCTTTTTACTATTTTGAGTCAGGGTCTCATTAAACTACTGAGGCTGGCCTCAAACTTGTAGTCCTCCTGCCTTAGTCTCCCAAGTAGCTGGGATGTAAGCCACTTCGCCTGATTCAGGATTTAATCTTCCCATTTGTCTCAGCTTGAATTTTCAATATGGCATCTTATCTTCCTCTGACTAGCCACTCAACAGGTTATCACTCTCAGCACCAGATGCTGGGATTTTTCAACTAGCAGTCCAAAAAGCCAAGTACAGTGGTGCACACCTGCAATCTCAGCAACTCAGGAAGCTGAGGCAAGAAGATCACAAGTAATAGGCAGCCTCAGAAATTTAGGGAGACCCTATGTCAAAGAAAAAAATAAAAAGTTTTGGGAATGAAGATCAGTGGCAAAGCATCCTTGGGTTAAATCAATCAATCTCTAGTACAAAAAATAAAAAGAAAAAAAAAGATAAATACTAGGAATTTTCCCAAATATATCTATTATAATGGGATTATTATTTATGTATTTTGGATTTTAGTGCTGGTGATGGAACCCAGGGCATTGTGCATGCTAAGCACATCTCTACCACTGAGCAACAACCGGCTTTATTTTTTTACCCAGATAAAAATTATATAAAATACATTTTATTTAAAACCATATATTATATATTATATATACTATATTATATATATTTGTTATATAATTATGTATTTATATTATATATGCATATATTATATTCAAAATATAAAAATTTTATTAAATTTATATGTGAAATATAAATATTTATATTATATATACATATATTGTTTTTACTTGGTTAAAAAATAATCCCAGGGTTGGGTTGTAGCTCAGTAGTAGAGCACTTTCCTAGTGGAATTGAGGCTCTAGGTTCAATCTGCAGCACAAGGCGGGAATCCCACTATGATTGATCATAAACCCCCCTGCTCTAGGGGCAGGGTAAGATGGAGCAGTGAACTGCCCCAGGATGGAGGAAAAGATTTGCCCTGGGCTGAGTGGGAGCTGGAGTGGGAGGAACTGCAGATCTCTAGGCAGTGCCTGATAGCCACAGAGTAGTGAGCAAACAACAGGTGGTAGTCCAGGAGAACAGCAGGCACCAGGATGGTTCACCTCAGGTAATGGAGGAAAGGAGGCTCTGTAGATGTGGAGAATACACAGGTGCAGAGAATCTGGAATGTGGCCAGGCCAGTGTTGTGTTGTAGGGAGGGCTGAGTTCAGAGGACAGGCAGAGAAAATTGAGTTCCAGGCAGGCTAGGAGGGCAGAGTTCAAATATAAAAGGGTGATGGGTCTGTTCTTAGAAAGGGACCAAGGTCAGGGCTCCCTAAATAGCTAGCAAAGGCTGTCTTGGGCTTGGCACTGCAGCTCTGGGAATCTTTCTGCCTCGGAGTCTAGGAAAGGACTGGGTTCTGTGATAAGGGGTAAAGGGAAAGGAGGAATATAGAGATCACGGGCAGAGTAGGACCAAGTGATGGCTACTTTGCAGCAATATCCTCAGTAAATGGTCTTTCAATCACAGTAAATAGCGCTTTGAAAGCAAAGGAAGATTAAAAAAGAGTAAGAGAGAAGGAACAAGTTGTTTAGAAGTAAAAATAGAGGTGCTTCAAAGTAAATATTCTGCCATTACAAAGAACACATTCAGGTTTTTAAGCTTTTTTGTTTTGAACACTGAATTATCCTTAGATATATTCATCTATATATATATCCATCCATACACACACACACACAATCTGTTTTGGCTCAGTACCTCTAAACCACATATCATTAACAACTAAAATGATATAGTAGTGTTCTTGATGAAAAATAAAGCTGTTTCCTCTACTCTCTAGAGCAATTTTATGCATTTAATATTGGGTTTGAAACCAACCTAAAGTGTCACCTACCTAGGGCATCCCTTCACTAGTCCTAACTGGGCTCTAACATATCTCCAAACTCACAAAGACTTAGCATCACCTTTTGCCTCATAAAATCTTTACAACAGGAAAATGACTTCGGATGGATTAACTTGGATTAATCTATTGAACTTGGATCCCTGAAGGCAGAAGTCCCATTTCATTGAAGATGATGTAATTCATAGCTTTCCTGGCAAACCCTCACTCTCCCTTTCCCACATAGCCATGCCACCTCCTAACACTGGAAGGGTCTTGGTGACAAGGTTCAGAAGCTCAGAGGAAATCCTATGCTTATCTCTCTCACTCAGTTAACAAATGTTGAGCACTTATGCTCAGGGCACTAAGCTCTAATGAGAGAGTTGAGAACAGGATGAGAAAGTCTCTGGTTTCCTGGAGTTTACATTCTAATGGGGCAGAGGCATTCAGACCATAATCAAACCAAATAAACAAGGAAATTCAGATAACAAAAAGTGGCATAAAGAAAATGAAATTGGCTGTGATGGGGTGTTAATTTAAGATAGGTGATTAGGGAAGGAGTCCTTGAGGAGAGGAGAACTGTATGAGAAGGGTCCTTTCCATTCCAAACTAATGGTTCCTGATTTGGGCAAAGATACCACTTTTGAGAACTGTATTAATTGCACAGAGCCATGGGAAAGACCCATTTCCAGTCTCTTCCATAAATCTAAAGGAACACTACCATATTACAGAATGTTACGTAGGAGCTTGAGTTGTTGCCTTTGACATTGGGGGCCAGACCATACGTGTCCAGATGTCTCCTTAGGTTTCCTGGTTGCTCTGTTCATTTAGTGGGCAGGCAAACCAGAGAAACAGGTTGGCATGCATACACATGCCAGGAACCAGAGAACACCATGCCTCAGTTCTCAGTGGGTAAGTTGCCTGTTGTGATATGCTAAGCCTTGACTCTAGGTGCGTCTTTTTTAAGGAAAGCAGGAGGATATCAAGTAACATTCCCAAGTATTTTAAAAGGAGATCCTTTTGTAGATAAGCATTGATAGCATGACTTAAAATTTGAAGTCTCATTTTTACTTCCATTTCAATGGTATACAACACAAGCCAGGCAATACCAATTTGTATGTTTCAGAAACTTGATGCATTAAAGTTCCAACCTGAGATGCTTGGCTATTTTATAGACTGATTCCTGTGTCAAAAAATTGAATTAGGCTGCAGAGGGCATAATAACCCACTTGCCATGTTTTTTTCTGTCATGACACATTGCTCAGCATATGATCTTTGGCCAATCAGTCTGAATCGCTGAGAAAATAGTCCAATCTTTTCCTTAAAGTTAAAGCTGGATAATATGCAGAAAACTGGAGAAAAATGACAAATTTTAGTTGATGTCAAGAATCTTGTATCATATTCTTCCTGCATATCAAGATACAATAATGCATGGCTCTCAAACCTGAGACTGCTAAAGAGCTCAGAAAAAAAAGATCAGAGATGAAAAGAGAACTATAAAATAATTCATAATTATGGAGAGTATCTCAGGCAAGAAGGGTAAAGGTGGATAAAAGAGAAAAGTGAGAAATAACAAAACACACCCCCCATACACAAAACTTTAAACAAGAATATAAAGGAATTTCAACACTTATATCAGAATATAAGGAAATACCGTGGAATCCAAACATTTCTTTAGGCAAGATTGTTCGTAAATGTAATTAGCAGTGCCTGGCACATTCTTTTCCTTCCCTCTTCCTTTTTACTGTTTTGAAAGTGATTTTTAAAGAAAACTTAAGGTACCTTATCTATGTAAAGCAAACTAATTGAACATATTACTTTTGTTGAAAAACTTATGAAAGAGGCTATTAAAGTCACAATTGGTTAAAAAGGGGCCAACCTTTTCTTCACGTACAGGTCACTGAATACATTTAACAGAATTTTGCACAAAGAATCAGGGAAAATGGAAGAAAAGAGGCAGTGTAGTGACAATTATTTGCATTTTCCAAATGGAGGGAATGAGATGCTGGAGGGTATACGAGGTCACTCGAGTGAGGCAAAGGTAGAAATGAAGGCAATATTTATAGTGTGCTGACTTCAGTTCGGCTGGGCTCCCACCGCTCCTTATCTTATGCCTTTGGAATTCACCGGCTCACAGATCACAGCAACCCGAGCGGGCCGGGCCTCCGGGGCTGAAGGATCGACCAGGAAACGCTGCTTTCCCTGCTGCTCCCTCTAAGCCTGTGCACCTCCACCTCCCTAACTGAGCCTCTGCACGTTGGCCGAGAGCCCAGAGCAAGAACCGGGGAGCGGTGGGTGGGAGAATAATGAATGCAGTGTAACTACATTTTTCTTTTCTTTGTCGCAACGACTGCTACCACGACCGGGCAATCCTCCCCCACCTTGGTGACTGGGTGCCTTCTAAGCGATTAGGCTCATTTCTCAAACCCGATGACTGAAGCTCAAAGGGAGTACGAGTCGGGAGTAGAGGGGGTCGGCGTGAAGGAACCCGCGGGGACAGTGGGTGATGGGAGCCCCGGCCGGGAGGCTCTCTGTAGTGGGCACCCCGAGTTGTCTGCTTGATGAGGCTTCCTCAGAGTGGCCCCGCCACGGCGGCTGCGGGGTTGGCTCTACTCTAGGGGCTGACGGGCCCGAGCGAAGGACTGGCCCCCCTCCCCACAGCAGCCCGGCGCCCCCTTGCCGGCGGCTGGCCCTCCTCCCCGGCAGCGGGGCGCCGAGCTCCGCGGGCCTTTCGGGTCCTTCCGCCACGAGCTCGGTTCATTTCGTGTCCGGGGCGGGGCGGGGCGGGGCCGGCTCCCGCGTTCGGGTGCGCGCGGCGCTGGCGGGCGCCCTCCAAGTGCGCGCGCGCGCGGAGCCGACTCTCGTGGAGGCCCGCCCCTCCCCCAGGTCCCCGTACCCGCGCCGCCCCTCCCCCGCGTGCGAGTGTCGGCGGCGACGGCTGCCGAGATTGGAATCCGACTGCCGGGCTGGGCGAAGGAGGAGGGAGGAGGGAAGAGGGAGGAGGGCTGGCAGGAAGGCTCGGGCTCCGGAGCGTCGGTCCGCGCGAGACGAGGATCGCACGGCCGCGCGAGGGGCGACCGGGCCGGGGCCGCTGCACGCCGAGGGCGGAGGCCGAGCCGGGCCCCCGCCGCGCCCCGGCGGCTCGCTGCCCCCACACCCGCTCCGCTCCGAGGGCTGGAGGATGAGTTCCCCGGGGTCCGGGTGAGTTGGCTTGTCTGGAAGTGCGTGTGCGCGCCGGGAGAGGCCGGCTGCGGCGGGGAGGCCGGCGCGGGCGCGGGCTAAGTTTGGAGTGAGGGGCGGCCCGGCCGGGTTGTTGAGGCCGCGGCGCGCCCTGGGCCCCGCGGTCCCCTCCGCAGACCCCTGGCCCTGGGTCGTGTCGGGTTCTGCCGTCCGGGCCCTCTTTTGTTTCCCGTTCCACCCCTGGGTCACAGGCCGTGTTTGGGAAGGCGATGTGGGCGAAAGCCGCTCCGAGGACGCTTCTGGAATCCTTAAATGGGAAAGGCGCTTAGCTCCCCGCCCCGGAGCTGCGTGATCGGGATTCGGGGTTCGTCTCGGTACGCTTCGGTGAGAAAGGAAAGAGAACAAAGTGTGGTAGTCGAGCCCGGAGGAGCTGCTAGCCCGCCCTCCAACTTGGAAGGTGCCGGTTTTCTCCGAGGTCGCTGCGTGTGGGTTCACCTGTTGTCCTGCGCGGCCTCCGCTGCCATGTCTGTTGTGATTCTGCCCTTCAATTTCGGAAAACTTTCTGCTGGATTGCTTGTAACCTTTTTACTCTTTCCAGACTCCCAGTGGAAAGGTTTGGCAAGGAAAAAAAAAATGAGATTGCGTCAGGGCAGAAAAATCATATCCGTGTGTTAGGGTCTTGTGTTTTGTACTCCTTCGTGCGCTCGGATGTTTTAATTTGGTTTAAGCACTGCAGGTTTTTCTTTTAAACAATTAGCAAACCGTTCTGAGTACATAGTAGGAACTTGGCACCCGTAATACGTCATTTATAAGACGTCATTTACTTTATATCCGTGGCTGTTGTAATTCTCATTTGAAGGAAACTGAGCCTCAAAGATATTAAATAATTCAGATGGATGAGCTGGGATTTGAACTCGGGAACGTCGTGTCAAGGCACAGGAGTTTTTCTTTTTTTAAACAAACCTTCAAATACTTTTAGGTATAAAATAGTGTTTTTCAGTTATTCGTACTTGAAACGCGCTGTTTTGTTGCTTGAGTTCAAAACAACTTCTTGATTGTATTTGCTTGTGAGAGGAGTTAAACTTCGAATTAAATTAGAAGGTCACAATGCTTATTTTCAGTTGTTGAAATAGATCGTGAACCAGAATTATTTCGCTTTTAAAATTTAAAGTAATAGGTGATTCTTTGATCTAGGAATGAGCTGTTTACGAAAGGCCGATTAAAATTTGGAATGTATTTTTAATAGAACCAGTACTCTGTTATTTTTTTTTCCTCTTCACATTCTCCAAGGAGCCCATTTCAAACCTTTTTAGTTTTCTGCACTTCTCCCCACCCGTTACTAAAAAGATTGAGATGTCTAGTGGGAGGTCCTCCTCTGGATTCCTTCTCATCAGCTTCTTTCCTTGGAGATTGTTTTGGTTCTTCTTGCAAGTTAACACCTGGTTTCATCTTTCCCTGATTTTCCTACTAAATGGAGCATGAGTTATCCTTTCTGTTGTCTTTGGTTTTTAAAAGTACAGATGTAATTAAGATTTCTTAAATTTACAAAACCCTTTGCTTAAGTTTTCTATTCCCTTAAGCTGTCTTGTTGCTGCTTTCCTTTTTAGTGCACATTAACATTTAAGTTTTTTTTTCTTATAAAAGTAATACGTGGCCATTAAAGAGAAGTTGCAAAAATAGAGCAAAATTGAAGTAAAATTAAAATTCAGTCATTCATAATCTCATCTGTAGAGATTGCCAAGAGTAGTCTACTTTTCCTCCTGGACATGGTGGCCATCTATCCATTTCTTAACCCTTTGTTGACTAGGAATTAGTCAACACATTTAAGTACCTTTATTCAGTCCTCTCCTTGAAGTTCCTGTAAAATATATTTAACATCCATTTCACATTTTTTTTTTATTTGATAATGCTGATCCTGGGGATCAAACCCAGGGGATTGAAAGCACTTTGCCACTGAGTTACATTGCCTGCCCAACTTCTGCTTCTTTGAATGTTTCTCCTTGGCTTTCATTCTTCTGTACATTTCATTTCAGAAATACTTGCTGTATTCTAAAATATTGTACAAGGTAAAAGGGTGCAACTACAGATATGACCCCTGCTCTCATGGAGCTTAATATCTAGTGGGGGAGACATGTTGAAGGATGTGTTCTATAATTAAGTAAAATTGTTGTTATAATTGAAGTGTAGAGTATTATAAAAGGTTAAAAAGAGGTTAAAATTAGGATCTGACCTGGTGCTGGGAGATTATAGGAACATCTCCCTAAAATGTTACCTCAGAACCTGGCACAGTGTGAAGGAAGAGTAAGAATTAACTAGGTGTGAAAGGGGGCTTCTGCAGCTTTGTTCTTCCTTTTTCTGCCACCCTTTCTTCCTCCTTCCTTTTTTTTGGGGGGGGGGCGGAGAGGGGTACTGGGGATTAAACTCTGGAGCACTTCCACTGAGCTACATCCCCAACCCTTTAAAACTTTTTTTTTTTAACACAAATTTTTAACAGGATCTCACCAAGTTTCTGAAGCTGGCCTCAAAGTCACCATTCCTCCTGTCTCAGCCTCCCTAATCACTGGGATTACAGGCATGCACTGCACTATAACCTAGTCACTTCCTCTTAATATATTCACTTCCTCTGATATACATGTTTTCCAAGTTTCACTCTTCAAGTCACTTTTATGTCTCCAGTCTCTCCATTATTATTCAGACCTTTTTGTCTGAATATTTCTCAAATCTTTGTTCTTAATTTCTCTTGTGCATGAGTCCTATTTTTTCATTTGCTTTATGCATAATGTGGCCTGGTTGTTTCTAGTTGAAACTTAACTCTTCCTTTTGGCTTCTTTGGTGTTCCTTATTTTTGTTGATGTCATACCAAATCCAAACCTTTTTCCCATTCTGTCACGTATTGTTGAATCTGCCACCATCTTTTGATTCTGCTTTTATGATATTGTAACTACTCTGTATTCCTGCTAACTGACAAAATTCTTAATTCATGTTGGTATTAGAGTTATAATAAAGTTACAAAATAAGTTGGGCAGTTTTCTTCTTCTTCTTTTTTTTTTTTTCAGGAGTTTTGGACTGGGATTATCTGTTCTTTGAAAGTTTGGCAGATATCACCTATAGGACCATTCAGGCCTTTATCTCTTTTCCTGGAGAGGGTTTTGAGTACCATTTCAATTTATTTAGTAGCTATTGGTTTATGTAGGTTTTTAAAAATTTTTCATTATATATACCTTTTATTTTCATTTATTTTTATGTGGTGCTGAGGAATGAACTCAGTGCCTCACCCGTGCTAGGCAGGTGCTCTACCACTGAGCTACAATCCTAGCCCTTATGTACATTTTTTATTTCTTGTGTGAATTTAGTGTTTCATATTTTTTTCCAGAAATTTATTAGTTGAGTTTTCAAATCTGAGGTTATTTGGTTTTGGTTTTTAGGTGTTGAAATTTCTACTACATGTGCTTTCCCCCTTTTCACACCCCCCTACCCCGTTTTAAACCAGGTTCTTATCCTGCTTGGATAATGATATGATCTTGTTTTTCTTTTTTGCTTCTTTTACCTGTTCTTTTTTCACTCTCCTCCTGGACTGTTGGTTATAGTGTTCCTTCTACGTGGATTGCATATATGGCCAGTTATCATATGTCCAAGTCCAACCCAGTTTTGAAGCACCATTTTGATTGCAACTCTTAAGTTTTAACAATTTTTTTCTTCTGGATGGAATCCCTCTTGGAGTACCACACAGTTTTTTATTTTTAATTTTTGGCATGCAGTTTTCTCTCCCTAGTATTTTCTTATTGCACTTGTCTTTTAAAGAAGTTTTAATTTTTTTGAAGCATGATTTATATACAATGATGTATATAAGTTAGGTGTGCACTTCTGTGAGACATTTAATCTTTTATGGTAGTTTTTATACAGTTACTAGTTCCACTATTAGATTGCAGGCTGGGTCTGTAATGGATTTTGTTGCATTTTAAAATGAATAAATTGGGAAAGGCCCCTATCTGTCCTAGCAGTGGCTATTGAACTGTACTGATTTGACTTATGGATCTTGGAAGCAGATGGGTTTCCTCCCATGCTAAATTTTGAAGTAGGAACCCTTTTCTTTCCTTTTACTTCTACCACCTTTTACTACTTTTTGTTTTTAGAGTGCCTTTTCAGTGCCATGAGATCTATATTTAGCCCGTCAGTCCAATCTTTTTAACATTTATAAGATTAAATGTTGGGCTGGGGTTGTGGCTCAGTGGCAGAGCTTGCCTAGCACGTGTGAGTGAGGCACTGGGTTTGGTCCTCAGCACCACATAAAAATAAATAAATAAAATAAAGGCATTGTGTCTATCTACAACTGACAGTTAAAGAAAAAAGATGTTATATTGCATTGAATTATGTCAACTGTATGCTTATAAGACACTTATAAGCCATTGGTTGTAAAGTGCACCCCAATGTCAGAGATGCTAAAATGTATCCATCTTAGAATTGATGAATAAAGTTTCTTTCCTGTTCCTTTAGTGTAGGTGTTGGAAAGAAAGATTTAAACTCATGTGGAAGTGATTTGTACCCCTGCTGTTACTATGAAAAGTTATTTTTAAATATGTTTGTTAAATGTCTTCAACAAGTGAGAAATTTCAGGCAGTACAGAGAAATATTTATTTTTGAATTAGGTCTTTCAGGAGACCTGTGTACTTCCATTTCACGTGTGTGTGTGTGTGTGTATGTGTGTGGTGGGCAGGTGGGTATGGAGGCGGATATTAGGGATAGAACTCAGAGCCTGTGCATGCTAGGCAAGCACTCTACCACTGAGCTAAATCATTAGCCCCTGATTTCTTTTGCTTGTTATCTGAACTACAAGTTCTCTAATTGCTACAGACTTTGTAAAGTGGGAATTGTGGGGGATTGTGATGACCAATTGGATGGATCATTTTTAAGACTATCCAGTATTTATATATCATCATTAACAATTATATATATATATATATATATATATATATATATATATATATATATATATATAAATTGTTCCTCCTTTGGGGGTTGGT